ACTAAAAATCTAAAATATGGTTATAATAAAAACATAACAAAAATAATGAAGCTGCTGAAGATATGGCTGTATAACCCACAGCTCTTAGCTTTCTTTGATTAACGAGAGTTTAAAAATTCTCTCTAATCTGTGGCTCATTCACAATCATCACACAGTTTCTGTTCGTGTTTTTAAAAACATGCACATATCTGTTATTTTACATGCTCTATATACCTGAATCTAATACATAATATCGGTAGGTACTTGGCTTGATTGCCCTATTTTCCTATATAAGTTATTTGGTTTTTATTATTCTAATACTTATGTGCCTATTTGCAAACATAACCTCAAAATCATTCAGTGTATATGGTTTATAGAAGTTCTCAGGAGTGGCCGTCGATAATATTCGTTTCTACGGTAAAAATATATATAATTTCGAATGTAGGAAACCATTTTTCATGGTTATTGGTTTTTAGGCCAAACATGTATGGAAGCTGAGCAATCTCCTTTACAAGGTGTTTAATGTTCGTTTTCCACGAGGCATAGATAAAACTTTGTTTGCATCGATATTGAAGATGCTATGTGGCTCCTTATGTAGGATATGTATATATTAGTTTTATGTATAATAACTTAACACAATGCTTGTGTTGCATCGAAAATAATATTACTGATTCAGGAGAATTTATATACTTATTTTCGATTGATTTGTTTCGTGCATAAAGTTATATTTAAAATAAATCATAAACAAATTTAATCGTGTTTGAATTCGCTTACTAAATTACCAACATGTTGTCTAATATCACATAAACCGTGAACCATTAAGTATGTAGTAATGCAAATTTTCTTACCGGTACCAGTCTTAAATTTACTGTTTATACTTAATTATAACTAGCTATATGACGACCTCCGTGGTCGAGTGGTTTGTCCGCCGCGCCGGTTCCAAAGTCTCGAGAGGTCCAGGGTTAGAATCCCGGTGGGGGCGCAGATGTTTATGTAATAAATACGAGCATCTGTACTCCAGTCATGGATGTTTAATATGTATTTCTATATAAATATACTTATATATTTATTCTATCCGTTACTTTAGTATCCCATAACACAAGCCTCTTTTGCTTACTTTGGGGCTAGGCTATTTGGTGTGAGTATTGGAAATATTTATTATTTATTGTTTTCTTATACATATATTTAGATTTGTATCAGATTACTTACCTATTTCATCTTCTTTCTATCATGTTACTTTTTAATGAGGCGTTTACTGGATACGGCCTTTTTTTGTTTTAAGGACCTTTGGACCAAAATGTCCATACCGGCCCCATCATAACCTAACCATACAATTTTCTTAAAATTATTTAATTAACTATTACATAAAATGTTTGCTGCCATATTGCAAAGACCAGCCTCCTCCGATAGGGGGTTGGCTAGGATGCCCTGCAATATGCCAGTTTCAAATCTATTAATTTCAAGGATGCGGAATGCATGTCTCCTTTCCGCTTCATTTTTGACGTATTCCATTAAAATGTGTCGCATGTCCTCTACTTTCTCACATATTTAGGGCTTTATTACATTATATACAATGGTAAATATCCTGGCTTCTGCCTTGATCCAGAAGTAAAAAAAGACTGGCCAACCGCGTGTCTGGCAAATCAAGTCAACAGGGCCGGATTTAAGGCAGGGCAGGTGGGGCCGTGGCCCACAAAAGAGATATAATAATTTACATAATTCCACAAAGAACAAGGACCTCGTAAAGATCTGTCGCCTGTACTTGTAGTTAAATTAACTTATTGGTACCAAACATTTAGCCTAGGTAGGTATCTAATTAGTACACTTAGAAAATTGCATAGCATTGTGATACATCTACCGCATTTCTATGAAGGTTTGCACGTATTAAGGTGTGTCCATTATTGTCGAGATGACACAACAATATGATTGTATTGGCATTTACGAGGTCAGCATATTCCGCTATGTCCTTCTTACTAATTTGTATGCTGTGTTGGAGTCATTTTGACAGTAGGTACGAATACAATACATGAATATCTTACTAAGGAACATTTTTGTTGTGAGTTGTGCATCTGCGGTATTTTTAAAACACTTTTGATTCTGTAAGGTCTCACTTACGGTTTCATTTATTTGTATTTTTAACTGCTGTCATATATCTTTTACTGGCTGCTTCAACAGTCATTGCGACATTTGCCGTGTAAAGGCGTAAATGTCTTTGAATATATGAAATATCTTTGAAGACATTCAGGGGTTAGGCGATCAAGGGCCCTTCCGGTTTGTCCTAGTGGTAGGACCATGTTTATGTACCAGTGGTACTACTGGACTTTTTCAATTTATAAAATAGTAGATTGTATGACAAGGGAGCAAAATAGTATTTTTATGGCGAGGGCGCTACTTTGAAGCACGAGCGAAGCGAAGGATTCTAACGTAGAATCCTGAGCGCAGAGAGGGATTCAATCAAAGTACATCGCCCGAGGGAAAAATAATTTGCTCTCGAGACATATACTCTACTTTTCATCCCCTTTCTATGAGAAAATAAATAAGAGACGGTGTTATGTAATAATGAATATATCTAATTAAAAGAAGACATGTGAAATGAACTGAAAATAATTACAAATTTATATTGGATACGCTAGCGCAATTATTAAATGTTATTGTTACTGTTTTATTTTGGATCGATATTGCTGTCGATTCATTTACATTTTGAGTATTTGTTATCTTTGTATCTGAGTGATGCTCAAGAAAAGGTACAGAATCTTTTGATGTAAAAGGACGTGGTGACAATGGCATGGATGAAGTGTCTTTAGGTATTCATTTAATGTTTTCTGCAATGCGAGTGCTAGTTTTTTCCTTGTTTTGAATAGAATCTTCGATGTAACCCTCTGCTACAGAGCTGGATTTCCACCCTACGTGCCGCTTTAAAACAGTAAGGTCCGCTCCAGAATCTGCCAAAAGTGTAGCGGAAGTTCGGGTTCAAGTTCGAAATCAATGTCCTGTGTATAGCTTGCAATCGGGTAATTACAAATACATAGCGATTTCTAGGGGCATTGAAGATATTCTATTTATTCCTATAACCTGTTTGAAGCACTTTCCATTTTTATATGTAATAAAAAATCTATTTATAGATGTTATATCAGAAGGACGCGGGCTCTGATATTTTTCTACTATTGGTTTGTACTGCCCACAAATGACGAAAGACCGATCAATTTTTGTTTTTACGTCAGTTAAATTCACTAAAAGTAATTCATCTGAATGTTTTTTGACATCTTCGATTGTTATTTTTATAAAAAATTCAAAAAAAAAAATCAATATCGTTTATTCAGTCTAGGCTGTTACAAGCACTTGTGAATGTCGAAAAGCTACGCCATCGGTTCGCAAATCTACGGCGGGAGACCTTGTACTGAGAAGAACCGGCAAGAAACTCAGCAAGGGCTGCTTTTTTCTCCCTGTTTAATTTCATACAGTGTCGTCCAATTGAAAGTTGACATCAAACTTGCAAACATGTGTTGAGGTCAACTTCCATCAGTTATAAGCTCGTTACTACGACAAGCTCCAGGTATGCAGATTATTAAAGCCAAGTAGGTACAATAATACGTACACATTTTAAAACACTCTGTTTATAGATTACAATGGAAAAATAAAAGATACATAGGTAAATAAAACTAGTTTTTACGGGTTAATGCACGAAACTTTATTTATTTATTGACGTTTCGTAGCCTTTACAGGCTACGTCGTCAGAATTAAACTTTTATTTAATTTGTCGAGCTATCTTCGAAAGACTTTTATTGAGCGTTCGGTTATTTCATTGTTCCATTTTTAAAGTTTTATTGTCTATGTATGAATTTATTATTAAATTTACTTAATAAAGTATTTTATTTAAATTCTTTTTTGTAATTTTGAGTTTATTTATTTGACCCTAACTACCGTAAACTACCACCGGTTCCAAAATTGGGAGACCTTTCTGAGAAGAACCTTTGTTGCGAGAAATTCCGTATCAGGCTCGTCATTCAAAAAGTCTCCCACGTTTTGGTGAGAGAATACTTTTGATTTCTTTGGTTTGTGTCCTTCGGATCTCTTCAGATAAGCTAGTAATTTTGAGGTCCTATCAATTTTAATATTTTTATTGGTATTTACTGTAGATTTACGCATTTAGTATATACTCCAAAGGGTAGAAGGTTGCTTAGTTTTGGCCAATTCTTGAAAATAGGCCAAAACACCTTTTCCTTTCCTCCTCCATTTCTATTTTTCCTTATGATAAAATTATTATAGGCCCTTAAATATTTCTCCCGAGATTTCGTGGGTAATAAGTTTTGTACGACGTTGTTAGCTTCTATAGTTATTGTTTCAGGAGTTAATGCATTATCACTTTCATAACTTGAGGTAGTAGAACTCATTATTTTTGCAAAATACAATAAAATATGTACTGAGGTAACAAGAACAGAAAAGTAATTCGCGCGCTTTTGTTTTTTTTTGCGTTCGATTTCTATGAATGATATAAGTTCTAAATTCAAATCTCTTTTACGCCCGCTAAAAAGTTCTTATCGGAAAAGAGCTATTTTGTTCCCACTTATAGAGGAACAAAGCGACACTTGTCGAATAGAAGGGATGAAAATATAGTTAGTTATAACGTAGTATCGTTAAATAATTATGAATAGTTATTGAAATTACTCTTTGAACTTCAGGCTTCTTCGTAACGATTTGTTGTATTATGATGGCAATATTTTTAAAACCAAACCATGGAATTGCCACATTATCGTACGTTAATTACTGTTATAAGATATGATTTTATACCGTATTTAAATTTAAAATTAGCCTTTATTACTTAGATTAAAACAAAAAGGGTAGATACTGTACGCTCATACTTGCATCAAACAAAAACTGATCCCACGGCAGAGCAAACGGGACGGCGAGATCCGCGTCACTGCATTACCGACCCGAACGAAATAGCACGTTAAGTTTCAACGGCAGCGGAAACGCGACGGCGAGATCCGCGTCACTGCATTACCGACCAATCAGGCGACTAGTACTCGACGTCACTACCGAATAAGATTCAAAACAAACAACAATTTTTATGAAAAAAAATATTTTATAGTACTTACGAATGAAAAGTGATGCCGTGGGTTTTATTTTTAGTTCTTGAGCAATTTGAGCACTTTTTAAAAACACATTAAGGGATTGTTTTATCATATAAACACAAAATATTAGCAATATTTCTTTTTGGCGTTCACATGTACGTCGTTTGCATGTCAAGTTGTGACTAAAGCGATTAGGGTCGTGGACCACAATTGGTGCGGATCACTTTTGTGAGGCTAGTGCCGTATCTACCCTTTTTGTTTTAATCTAAGCTTTATTAAATGAGATCAGTTTTGAGTATTTTTTGGAAGTTTACGTTAAATATAAAATGCATAAACGTCGTCAAATTTAATGAGAAAATCAATAATTATTAATTTAAGAAATAATTTCTATAAGATAATTTTATTTCTTAAATAAGCATAATATAATTTTAATAAGACAATGTACATAATACTTACAAGCGTTTATCGATATTAATCAGTTTAGTCCAGTAAGACCACGGTTACATAGTGGTATACCGTGGTCCCTTCATTAGAACAAACCGGTGCGGTGGGACCACGGGCCCTTGATCGCTTTGGTGCATACTGGTTCCATTCTGAACTTGTCTTAAAGATAATGGTAGACTTGGACCACAACTGTACCTGGCCCAGGGACCAGATTACGATTGTAGGTCATATGAGAAAAAAAATCTCTTTTATCTTATTAGACACGCGCATAAGTACTAGTCATTTTGTCAGATGCATGTCTGCGCTCATCTATGTAAACTAGTTTGCGCATGCACATTTGATGCGTTTGCTTTAACGGCGATTACGTGCAGTGTTCACGTTTTATTTAAACTTTTCTTGGGTATAGTACCACGAAAGTGAAATAGTGATCTTTTTCTTCGAATATCTGGTAGATTTTGATTTCAAATGTCGCGTGACGTCACGTTTTCGTACAATTTTTACTAAAAAGTGACATCACGAGCCCGCACTCCCAAACTTTGGTGCGCTTTATCTTTGTAATTTTTTGGCTGATTGACAAAATAAAAAATTAAGAGCCATTACTTTTTGATAATCTAACTGACGGACTAAATAGAATTTCGATTACTTTTTCCGTCATCATCTCTATTGAACATTTGATAGCTCTAGTTAAAGAAAGTCCTTAGAAGCATCAGAAAAAGTGCTAAAAGTCTTTGAGCTACGCTGCAGATAGATGGGCGGACATGGTGAAACTGTAAGGCCGTATACAGAAAGAAAGCTGGAAGCCGACCAGCGCTTCTCAGCGCTGGTCCTTACTGGTAACAGTTACATAAAGGAAGCAGATTGAAGCGTAGTTGTTCATTAATTCCAAAGAGCGGTGCCAGCGCTGACCAGCGCTTGTCGGCACTTGCCGGCGACGTTCGGCGCTTATCGGCGCTGGTCCATAGAAATGCCTGCGCCGCGCCGGTTACCGGTAAGGACTAGCTCTGAAAAGCTCTGACAAGCGCTGGTCGGCTTCCAGCTTTCTTTCTGTATACGGCCTAACGGTTCCGTATAGACTAGGAAGCAAGAAAAAAAAACTGACAGATACGTGTGTAGGTATTATTTTATTACTAAACTGTAATAAATGAGTACAATAAAGCACATTGTATTGCAGTTTTATTTATGAAAAGCTTTACCACATTAAATATATTTTTATTTATCTATGAAATTATTAGGTAGGTAGGTACAAAATCCTTTTGAAAAAAGAATAAAATCAGAGAAGTTAAACAAATAATATAGTACAATATGATATCATTTTTAAATAAATAATTACCATCTACGATATAACTACTTCAAATGTTTAAAGGACAGACCATTTGTGAGTCTTGTGACAACGGAACATATTAAAAAATTAACGAGAATCGAAATACAGATAAAAAATCAAATTTGACCAGTTCAAAATTAAGTATTAATTTTTAATATGTGTTATTATATTATGCAGATTTCATTAATTTAATTTTTAATTTGTCAGTGGTTACAGTAACATTACATTTTCCACACAATATTGATTAGTGCATAAAAAATGACGTCTTGTACATTAAAAATAATCTAATTAATATGTATATACAAATGAAATTTCCCGCAATTTTGGTCACGCCATAACTTGAAAACGATTTTAACTTTCATCGTTTTTTAAAGCTTCTAATATAGTGCGACATGGATTATATTAAAACAGTTAAAGAAGGGTACTGTTCTATTGAATATTCAATGTTTCAACTACTTACTAGAAAATCTTCCGATGATAACTTGTCTAGTTCATACTTTATTTATTTCGATATATTTACAAAATCATTAAATATTCAGTTCTTACAACAATTTCTTAAAATTGATGTACTAAATATTTAATTATCATTTATGTAACAACCACCAATGAAAAAAAAAACGACGGGTTGCACTCCGGGAGTGCCGGCGCAGAAGTGAAAACTTGAATATTAACGTTGTGCATTTTTGATATTTTGAAATGGTTAGGGAATAATTTTGAATGTTTTGCTTTAATTATCAGTATAAAAATACTACCATGTGTGTGGTAGAATACAATATTTATTTATTGCGCTATCGTACATAAACATGTCAATTTATATTACATTAAAAAAGTTTATCTCTCAGAAAAATCAACTTACATGAATTACGTTTAATCGCACTTAGCGACATCTATTGTAAAGAAATCAACTTACATGAATCACATTTAAGCGCACCTAGCGACATCTATTGTAAAAAAAATGCATTTTCTTCGCAATAAAGATGCCACGTGGACGTCCTAGATAGAGACTTATTATTATAATACGAAAAAAATAAAATATTACTATGTTTCGTCCAATATATTGAAAGTCAACAACCTTTCCAATTTTATTGTGTGTCATGATGCGATCAGCCCACGTGTTTAACCTGACGCGAGTTTAACATTTGTTACCCATACAAAAAAGTGTACAACGCCGCTAAAGAAGTTTTCACGTCAAAAATTGAATAATGGTAAAGACTGTCTTAATTTCTAATTTTAATAATAAGTAATGCTGCTGTAACTATAAACAAAACTTTGACAAGAAGTAGGTACCTATGTTATTTGAGAAAATCATGTTGGTTAATAAATATTATTTTTATTATTATTTCTTATTAAGTTATTGTATACATTTAATTTTATGTTTTATTTGTTTACCCCTAACTTCGGTAAGCTTCTACCGGTTGCAAATCTAGAGATTTTTGAGATGAACTGGTGAAACAAAAATATGACTTTAACAATATTATCGATATTAGTTCCACATTCATTAGGAGCCATGACGCACTGTAGTAAAGACTTACAGAAAGTCATAGGTAAAATTAAAGAAAACTTGACATACAACTCTTCCCGATGTGGGGCGTTGCAGTCAAAACTTACGGCCTGCGATGCATTATGCGGGAGCACGGAGCGGACGTCCGCTCCGCGTGTTTGTTTCAGGTTTTTTTAAAAAAGCACTGCAGCGCTCCGTGATGCGGGTCTCCCTCCCATCTGCAGCGCTGCTCAATGAAATGACAAACTGCACGCGGAGCGGACGTCCGCTCTGTGCTCCTGATTAATGCAGCGCAGGCCGTTAGGATATTTTTGTTATAATCGGGCATGACAATGTCTGTAGTGTGTCGGGTCCGCTAGTATAGTATAAATATACAGTTAAAATTAAGTTATTTTTACTTAATTATATATACAATGTGCTAACATAAGCATTTAAAATAATTTGAGCTAATACAATATTTTACAGGAAACAAAGCAACGGTATAACTATATATAATTAATTACGAACTCATAGTCATATATACTTAACATGTGACTGTGTGACATGATTAATCTGCCAGGACTTTATAGGAAGTTTGGGTTGTTTTAATTATTAAAAGCACTAACTACCACCTGCGACTTCTTCCGCGTTACCTTTATTTGTTTGTGAAATCACACAGAAACCTTTTTTTTCCGGAATAAAAGTGTCCAATGTCTAAATCCAGGCAATAGGTTTGTCCGATTTAATCCAAATCAGTTCAGCCGATTTTGTCTGATTGAGTAACAAACATACATGCTTAAAAAGTTTTACATCCTATTAAGTGATAATATTAATCTGAAAGTTGGTAACTCAATCACTCAAAGACTACTGCTCGCATTTGGATGAAATTTGGTACGCCAGTAGTTCATGATATACCTACGGTATTTTTTTTATCCCGGAAAACTGTCAGGTCTCTGTGGGATTCTCAAAAAACTAAAGTTAACACGGACGTAGTTCCGGGCGGCCGCTGGTTTATAATATTACTAGGATATTCTGTAGGATAAGACTTTAACTGTGACTTTGTCCACATTGATTTGGAAATTGAAATGCCTAGGGAAACGAAGGTTTAATGGACATATAATTCTAGGAACTCGAGCCACAAGAGGACTATGTAGACAACCATGTACAATTCTTAGGTATAGTAAGCAGTTTTTGCGTCCCTGAGTAACACAAATCCAAATATCATCATCATCAGCCTATTAATATCCCCACTGCTGGGGCACAGGCCTTTCCTGTGGATGGAATAGGGAGATTGGGCCATGACCCACCACGCGAGCCCAGTGCGGATTGGCGGGTGCTAACGGCTGCAGATGCAGCTGGAACCAACGGCTTAGTGTGCCTTCCGAAACACGGAGGAACTCGATATAGACGATTTTTGAAATTTGAATTTAAGATTTTAATAAAGTTTGGTATGGAGACAAAGGGCATTGAGGAAAAAATAAAACTTGAAGAGGGTAAAATTATAGAGAGTTTGTATAGGAAGACAATTAATTTTAAGTAGCCCTAGTCATGGACACCTACTCCTTTTTGACTTAACTTAATCGTTCATTACGGTCCTGGCAAGTATTTTTGGTCACTGTATATTTATGACACCTATGAATTATAATATTTATCACGAACTGCAATCGTCATTCGGTTTAACACAAGTAACAATTCCATTACAATATATTTATAAAACTACTTACATTAAAGTACTACTAGACATTTATAGAAACATTCCTCAATTTTATTTATGTTTCATCGTAAAGATAAAATGTTAAAGTAGGTATTTAGTTTTTTCTACTTCAGAAAACTATTTTAGCTTTACTTAGTAGTAGGTAAGTTCATTTCTTATATAAACTTGATACAGTCACCTAAATTTAGTAGGTATATTATATTAATTAACATTTACACAATATGGCTCTTTGAATTGTTTTAAACTTTCATGGTCACTAACATTATAGCTATTAACGGGATTGTTACCATGTACCTTGTTTTTTTATTTTCGTATGTGCAAAAACCGTAAAAATCAAAAAAGTGTCGTTCCGCGATCGGATACTGTGAGTATTGTGTGTCGGGAACAGGTGCGAGTGAATAGTGAGAACGTGACCAATGGTAGGGGTATCGAGCGCAGTAAAAGACGACGTCAGAGGGTAGACCGATATGTCTGCCAATAACATCTACCCGCAATTACTTCAGTTACTCCGTGATCATGGCGCTTGCAACAGTGCCGAAATATCGGAGACTCATAAAAAACAAGGTACATGGTAACAATCCCGTTAATAGCTATAATGGCTCTTTGAAATAAATATTCTCTATCAAGAATTAAATAAAATGTGCTTTGGACATTCTTTCACTTACTGTTATCAAATAAAGCACGCGCGAATTCTATCGTCAATTCCACTTTCATATTCAACATTTTTCATAATCAAAGTTTATTGAAAAGCACAACTGGCAGCATACATTATTTCAGTGAGACAACTTTCTAAATTAGTTATTTTCCCGTTTTACCGAATGCACATATCGAATTTTAAATTTCGAGTATATTCAAAATAAGTTCAAGTCACTTCGAGATCTGACTCGGAGTCGTACATTTCTTATATAAACTTGATACAGTGACCTTAGTTAAGTATATAATATAAAATATTATATAACATTAACAAAATATGGCTCTTTGAAATAAAAACGTCTCTATCAAGAATTAAATGAAATATCCAAAGCACTCCAATTAATATTTTTACCGAAACTTCTTCCACTTATAGTTATCAAATTTAGAAAGCACTCGCAAATTCTATCGTCTATTCCACTTTCACAATCGAAACGATGCTTGATTTATTGAATTTATTAATCAAATCAATCATCCGATAGCATACCACCACTAAGCCAATATCTTGGTTTCGATGTAATTATGTGATTACCCCCGAGTTTAATGGAGTACCTCGAGATCTGAGTCCGAGTCGTCGCTGTATTGGCGAGGAGTTGGAGGCGCGACCGCGTGCTCACGAGGCGAGTGTGCCGGGGACAGGACTGATCGGGCCAACAGAAGAGGCCGACCAGACAATCTCTCTTCCTGCAGCTTCCGTTGCCTTTCTTGTTCCTCTCGCTTTTGTTTCCGCCATTTCGCGCGACGATTTTTGAACCATACCTGTGACGTTAAGACATACGTAAATAAAAAAGGTATAAATAAAGTGTTTCAATGCATATTTTTTTATGGTACATATTTTGATTACATAAAAAAGGCCAGGTGCGTGTTAAGCCACGCGCAATGTAGTGTCCGTGGTCGCCCATAATGTTTTACTTCTCCGATTATAACTTCAAAAATTGTAAAGCCTACTTAGCTATGTTAGTTTTTTTTAAATTCCATTGTACATGTATGCTACTAACGTGAATTTTGTCACATATCCAGAAAAGAACCATTTCGCTGGCAGGGAGGGGAAGGGGAACACTTGACTCTGACAAAGTTTTCAACTTATTTCAGTAATCGAAAAATTTTCTTTATTAAAAAAATCCTCTATTTTTTCAAAGAGTTATCCGCCAACACTCAGCTTCTTGAGGAAATCATATCCCTGCTCCATAGACATAGATTTTGTAGATGTGACTAATATGTAATAATATGTATACCTATCCATTTCAAATTACAATTTTCAAGATTATTAGATCAAAACCGCAGAAAAACGGACGAACGGACTAGCTAAACTAAGGGTTCCTTGTTGACTTTGAAACAGATTTTTTCTGCTCCGTGTCGAAACCCGAAAAAGGAATGAGTAGAGATGTCTTTTGTAAAATTTTCAAAGGAAACTACAATACAAACAAATAATTTCACGGTGTGAAATCGTGCCTCAATAGGCCCAATATTGATGCATTCGATATCCGAGTAACATATTGTAAACGAACGATTAAAACCTTATAATGCGACAGACAATTGCTCCCGACCCAATTTCACGATGACCGGGCTACTGGATCAATACCAGATGCGAAAAAAAAGGATTTTGTGTGTGTTAGAGTAACCATTGATGTTTCTGGGTAGGCCGCCACTTCCACTCGAGTGGTCAGACACAAGTAGGTCTGTACAGGACCACCCCGGGTGCCGATTGCGACAATATGGAAATATTACAATACTAGTTCTCTTTTCATTCATAACTTATATATATGCTAAAGATATTTACTCTTTTTTATAATTTTATAACCGAAATTGATATTTATTTGCCAGATAGAACTATATATGTTAAACAAAATGTAAATCACGCCAAGTATTTAATTTTTAAGGGATCATTTATACTTTTAGCAAAATTGATCGTTATTTGTATACCTAAAAAATATTGGTAAGTATAACTGTACCAGGTTATTAAAATTAGTTTAATTACTGATCGTCACAGAATATATTATTAATCAATGAGCAACACGATAACTACAACAAAGGATATACCCGTCCAAAAATATTGCGATAGCGTAGTTACATAATATTAAACATAAATCAAACTGAAATCGTTCAGCTACCTATTTAATTTTTTAATAAAACTGTCATTTCCAGATTGTGCTTATGAATAAATAATATTCGGAAAACTCCCAAGTGGTATTAAAAGCGTTTTAAAATTAATTCGTTAGCGATACGGCCATTGTCAAAGTTAATTGCATTACAAGAGTCACCCGCTCCACAAAAGCCCCATTAACTTTCGGTAAACGAGTAGCGGGCTTTTCTCACTTGCCACGTTCATTGCGCGCTACTCAAGCGGCAAATATCATTCAAATATGGCGACTGCAGACTTGAGGGCGACTACAGCGCCGCCGCGCCGCCGCATTGTGGATCCGACCCGCAAAAAGATTAACCGACGCTCTTTTGTTGATACTGATTGTGTTTGGCTTAACTCGTTTGCTGTTTTTATTGGCGGCAATCAGCCTCTTCTATGAAATAAAGCCCTCAATGGTTGGTATGTACTCACAATAGACCCTTTGTTTGATGGTAATAGTGGAAGTCGATCGGTGAATGGAATTCGATTTTATCTTAGCAGACATCTTAGGGGTAAATGGCGGAGGTTATAGATCTTGGCACGTTAACGAAAAGACGTTTGACAAAAATGTTGCATCAGGTTAGGAATAAATTGAGTCGTTACCGGATTATACAGAATAACCAAAGAAATTGATTTTAGTTATAAAAAAAGGCAACTAGGCCCCTTTATCAGACTGGAATCGAATCATTTCTATAAAAAATAAACTTAAGATATTAAAATGTAAAAAGATACTTAATTAAAAATATACTTTATATAAATCAATGACTAATGGTAATTAGGTAATCCATTGAGCGACATTGTTCACAGCGCCCTGTGGTGCCTTGCTGCTCTCGCATGCATTAATTTCTATTGTATTAATTTAATGCTTCGCCGAAAGTTCAGTCTCTACGTATTTCCCGCTGCAATCGAAAGCGTGCATATATAATCACCCGCCTATCGAACGCAAACACGGTCTTTTATTAAAAGCTAAAGCGTATTGTAAATTTGTGTTACAAGTTACGAAGCGGCTTTTCATCGACCGTAGGTGTTGTGAATTATTGAACAGATTAGGTCATTATATGTTTAGTGTGTAGAGACTTACCTAAGTACTTGAGGAACTTACCCCTGCCTACTGAACGTTGAGCAGTAATCTAATATCCAGATTTAAAACATACACGGTACAAATAGGTATAAGTAATGGAAAGGGGATTTAAACTAATATCCCAAAAAATAACCAAATAAAGTCAATAACTATCATCGATAAAAAATATTGTGCCGCAGATTTTTGGTAGGTCCGGTAACAAAACATTCATTTGAGACGGACATTGTTAACTAAAGAAAGACTAGAATATGTAAAAAAAACAACACCCGTATTAAATTACTCAGATAGAAGTTGGTATATGCGACAAAATATGAATACCTCATTACAAACCAATTTATTACATACTACATTAATAGACATTTCGTTGAAGTTCTGGGCTTAGATATGTTAATCCCAGTTAACAATGTATTATAATCGGGATGGGTGAATTGAGTTGATTATCCGTTACCCGTGGGTGGGAGACAGGACAGCGAGCGGGGCGGGGCGCCCGAGGCGCGCGCACCACGCCTTGTCGCCTCGCGCCTCGGTGCGCGATCCGCTACGGACGTAAATGATCCAACTCCCAAGACTAGACACACACACGCACCACTAAACTAGGTAGGTACAAAACTTCCGAGTGCCATATGAATTGCCGACACACAATTAACACGAACAGTTCACAAACATTCGGTTTGTAATATTTATGGATTGCTGAAACAAAATTGTTCTTGTTAAACTTAAGAAAATGCAAGATATGCAGTAACCATAGAGTCACAAACAAACAATCAAACAAATTCTTCAGCTTTATAATATTAGTATAGATGTAGAACAGCCAAATTAAGGAAATTGAGATTAAATCATCAATTTAGTTATTAAAATGCAAAATAATCATTTTATAAAAATGAATCTCTATTTCCTTTGGTCATGCACGCCATAACTTGAGAACAACTTTTCCGGTTTAATTCATCTGTTTTTTTTAAAGTTTTCTAATACATACTTTGTTGAAGGTTCTTACGGAAAAAATAAGAGAGCTGCGCAAAAAAATAGATAATTTAAGTAGACATCAGTAACAACTTTGCGATGTTATTGCGATTGTTTGTTAATTTAAAATGATTTCTGTTCCTTACGCGGCTTCGAAGTTAAGGCAAAAATAAATGAAATTCAAGATTTCAAGTTCTTGAGGAAAACTTTTTCTTTAATGTGTAAATAATAAAACATCGTAGAAAGTCTTTATTTTTACACCAGTAGGTATTTAACAATACACAATATTGAGGCCGTGCTGCCACTCCCGTAGCTAAATTTGACTAAACGTAGTTTTTTTTTATTCTGTGGCGATTTCCGTTTTATACCGAAATTTCGCCAATATCCCGTAGTTACAATACTAGATAGAATATAACTATTTGTCAAAATTTGACATATTTACTATGCATTTGATGCGACATTAACTATAGTCAAATTCAACAATGTCCCCCAGTTGTTGAACATAACTGGACACTTAACCTTAACACCTAAGCTAAAAATAAACCCAAATAGAAGCAATTAATTATGCTATTAGTTTAAAATAACGTGGTACAAAATATAGATTAGTATGTACAAAGTAATAAGTTTTGAATCTACTTACGAATGTGGGTTTATTCAACACTTCACTTACTGTGTATTGCACTGTTTACTAAATTACCATTGACATTAAATGCATATAATGGTATCGATTTTGGAATGATTCTCTAAACTTAAAACTAAATTTAAGATAAGTCTCTCCTTTTAATTCTGTTTAGAGAATGACAAGGATGCACTGTTGTCAAAAAGTTAAGGTCAAAAGAATATTTTTTTAGGTTTTTATAATGTTCACCGTTATGCAATTTTTAAGAACTTACCGTTCAATCCCTATCAGAGTAGATTGCCCGTAATGTAAAATATTTTTATTTTTTAAAGCCAATTTGTTACAACTATCATTCCATTTTCAGCAGTAAGGTGTACATCGTCCCAACTCGATCCACGGTGTCGTCTACGAAATATTATTATATGATTTTTATATTTGGTAACTGTAGACCCCAAGTTTTAAGGCGGCCACCCACCGCTGAGTTGTTCAGCATAGCTTTTCCCTCAAATTTATTACGGTCACGTTACAATATTGCTCGCAAAACAAATTTTGTGAGTCGTCTCCGCATAATGAAATCACTTTCAACACAACCCCACATGATTTTTTTCTATGCGGAAATTCGGAGCTGGCGTCTCGGTCGTGTGAACCGACGGGTGGGGAGCGAACCGAACTTATTGTAATAATGTTGTTAGAACAAACACCGCCCCTTCCCGCCTTATTTGAGATTACAATTACGGATTTAGCCAACTGATTTATTAATGGACCGCCTTATCCGCCTTTGATACTTTAACGTCTATTTATTTTGCATTAGAGTTAATTGTAATTTATTTTGGTTGGTGTGATGTATTAGTAGCTTGCGTTAGAATATATAAATACTACTGTTATTTGATATGTCATATTATTTAAATACCTACATTAATGTTTTGTCTTTTTTATTAAGAACTAGCTGACCCGACGAACTTCGTGCCCCCTAACAG